TCAAAACTAAGATGAAAAAGTGGAAATATTCTCATGATTCTTTACTTGCTGTTTAGAAAAGTTGCTAATTTATTTAGTTTAGAATTAAAACCTGACATCACCCCTCATTTCTGTATGTTTTGCTTTGAAGGAATGACACTAGTTTTCCTAAATTTCTGAAGGCCTTTCAAAGTTTTTGTTTAGACATTGTCTATTTTTTTCCCCACTCATTTTCCATCCAGACCGTTTTCAAAGGATTGCTTTTCTTTTTGTTAATTCACAGACTTTGGAATCATTCAAGCATAAAAAGGCACCTAACTGTGCTGTATTTATACATAATAGTCACCTTAGCAAGGAGCCCATTTTAAATTCTATCTTTAGGCACTTTGTTACTAGCAGCCAGTCGAATGACGAAACACATCATTTGTTCCCATTGCTTTAGGAAATCTATGAAAAATGCCAAAGATAACACAGTATGGCAGGCATAAAATAGTGTTTTTGAACTAACAAGGTGATTTCCAAAGTGCTATTAGCTGAAAACCTGGCATATCTTGGCATGGTGTGCTGTGTGTCCATGAAAAACAGGTGCAGGACAAAGGAATAAGTGTCAGACCTAAAAAAGTAAAGCAGATGAAAATCATGTCCTAAAAATAAGGGAAAAATCCAGCAAAGCCCCGAGACAGGACCTGAGAGATACATCGGTTCACTCAATCCTCCACACTGACTCCTATTCTCTGAAGTAAATTCTCAATATCCAAAACAGTTTATTGAATCAATCAAACTTTGAACAGTTTTCACTTTTTTAGACACACTTTGATCTCATTTTGTAAAACCTAAAAACATTACCAAACTAGATGGTCCACAGTGATTCACACTGAAGTTGAAAAGACAGCTACAGCACAGATGTGATGGAACTGATGTAAGCCTGTTCAGAATATACAGCAAGCAAAGGTAAGTTGAAGGTTGATGCGAGCAATGTATGGCATTAAAAGTAGAAGACAAATAGTACAATATGTAACACTTCGTATTGTGTGATTACTGGATGTAGAACAAAGTGAACAACCTAATCTTAGCACATCCTCTCTGCCACCATAATCTGCCGTCTTGATTCTTTACCGTGTTATCTTAAAGGAAGCTCAACATTTTGTTTCGTTCATTATGGCTTTTATTTAATATTTGAATCATTTTTATGCATTTATAAATTAGCCGCATAAAGTTTGCAAGACTTAAAAACAACATGAGACATGAGAGCTCCGTGTCCTGAACAATGTGTTTTGCTCTGGTGCGTAATGAATACTGAGCAGTGTTTTTGTTTTGTTTAATTGTGTGGATGATTTGAAAACTACTATGTGGGTTCGAGCACAAGTGAAACTGTTTCATTGTGGTTTTTTGTTTACAATTTTGAGATACGTCTTTAATGGTTTAAGGAATGGATCTTAGCAATTGTGAAAAACTGTTTACACAGTAACTTACATGATTATTTCTGTCATTCACTGTAATAGCCAGTTGATGTGTAGTTCAATATTAATATTGCAAACAAAGCACATTTTTCTTTTTCTTATTGCCTGTCTTTCTCTTTCCCTAATCCCTCTCCCTCTTTGTTTTTATCATTATTTCTCTCAGGAGGACTGTCAGCCATGTCTCCCAGGTTACTATTGTGATGCTGCGGGGCTCTCGGCACCTTCAGGAAAATGCTGGCAAGGTTTCTTCTGCTCTGGTGGTGCAGAGCGTCCTGAACCTCCTTTAAGAGACAGTCACGGAGGGCCGTGCCCAAAAGGTGATCAGATCCCCTTGAATCTGTAGCTTACTATTCAAAAACCCAGCAGAACCTGGTCAAAATAAAATATACCAGGACAGATTAAAAACAAATATAAAAAACAAAACAAAAGAAATGTCTGGATGATTTAATCAGGCAGCGTTAACACTGTTGGAAGTGCGAAAGGATTGGGAGGTTTAAAGTTCACATAAGCAAGTTTCATGAAAAGGTAAGCAAAACTCTTTCATGATAATAGGGCTACACATAAGCAGCTACTCGACTCACACTGGAAATTGAAGCCTCTCTCCGTGGTTTTTGCATGTCTTAGTTTGTGCTTCAGTGTGCATCTATTTCATGACTCTTGTCTTCACACAACCAGGTTATTACTGCTCTGAGGGCTCTGTGGCTCCTCAGCGCTGCCCCTTGGGAACCATCAGCACAGAAGATGGCCAAGCCAGCTGCAGTGCCTGTCCTCAGGGGTAAACTCACTTATCAGCCTTGCACAGTCACTTGAGACTGTAAACTGATACAGAAAAATGACCAAGACCCGTAACTGTACATAGAGTAGTGCATGAGTGATTTTTATACTGTATATACGTGTATACACAATTACATTCAGTTTTGTTGCTACAAGATAAATTATTCTATCCTGTTTTTGTCTGCATAGCTTTTATTGTCCTGGCACAATTAATAGCTCTCTGACAGAGAGTTATGAGTGTCCAGTGGGTCATTACTGTCCATCTGGGACCTGGGCCGAACACCAGTACCCCTGTCCAGTTGGAACTATCAATCCCCACACTCAGATGGCAAAACCCCAGGACTGTCTTCCGTGCCCTCCAGGTCACACATCATTTATGGCAATTAAATGTCACTGTATTAAAGGTTAAGTAGTTGGCCCAGTGTTTAATTTAACATTGTATATTAAAATTAGTCAAAAAACAGTTATTATTAAACATGTCATTAAGGAGTAAATGAATAGACACAGTGATGGAAATAATTATTTGATCCCCTGCTGAGTTAGATTTTGCTCACTTAAAATAACATGAACAGTGTATAATTGTTATGGTAGTTTCATTTAAATGGAGAGAGACACAATACATTATACAAAAGTATAATATACAAAAGTATAATGTATTTGTATAAAACTGTATAAAACACATATGAATTTCATGTGATTGAGGGAAATAGATATTAGATCCCATACAACACAGCCAGAATTCTGGCTGTCACAGATCAATCAATCAATCAATCAATCAATCAATCAATCAAGCAAGCAAGCAATCAAGCAAGCAATCAATCAATCAATCAATCAATCATCATAAAGAAGCTTCGTGAGGAGATGATAACTGTTTCAGAAATGAAAAATATATATAAAATGCTCGTCAGATGGAGTCCACGCAAGATCCTGCCTCATGGGGTGAGGATGATCATGAGAAAGATGGTGGATCAAACCAAAACTGCGTGAGAGGAGCGTATTAATGATCAGAAGATAGTTGGGACCACAATCACCAAGAACAACACTGGTAATATATTACGGTGTCTCCTGCTCAAGAAGGCACATTTACAGACCCATCTTAAGTTTGCCAGTGAACATCTAAATGTTTCAGAGAAGGCTTAGGGAGAAAGTGCTGAGGTCAGAATACACTGAAATTGAGCTTTTCGCCTCAACTCAAACTGCTGTGTTTGGAGGAAGAGAAATACTGACTATGACACAAAGACCATCATCCCCATAGTGAAGCATGGAAGTAGAAACATTATGCTTTGGGTTCATGTTCTTCTAAGGGTACAGGGCAACTTAGCAGGGACATGTACCACAACATTTTGCACAGGAACCTCCTTTTCTCAGCCATAACATTTAAGATGATTTGTGGATGGGTCATCCAGCAGTGACACAAAATATACCATCAAGGTAACAGCAGCCAAGAAACCTAAAGAGGAAACCTCTTACCAAAAATAGCCATGTTTTGCTTGAGGATGAATTTTTGGTTGATATTCTGTCTCTCTCCATTAAAACTGAAACTATATACAGTGCTTTTTATTCATTTTCATTTCCTGGTGTTATTGGTGGTAATATTCCCTTCGAGTTGATATCAACATTATTTCTTCTCAAACCAGGCTTTTTCTGTGCACATCCTGGGAAAGGTGCTCCATCAGGTCAGTGTGGCGCAGGGTATTACTGTGTCTCTGGGGCCTGGTCACGCACACCGGAGGATGGTGGGGTCACAGGTGACAGATGTCCTAAAGGTCATTACTGTGCCCAGGGCTCATCAGCACCAGTTCCCTGTCCAACAGGTCATTACAGCAACCAAACCAGAAACAGTCATCTTAGTGACTGCCTGCATTGTCCTCCAGGTTGGAAATCGTTGCATTTTCAAGAAGATAAAGCTTCACTTACATTCTTTGAATTATAGGGTAATAATCCCTTCATATCACATCTGTATCTGCTTAACAGTGTTGCTTATGTTTTTAGGTTTCATGTGTGACACCAGAGGGCTCTCTTTCCCTTCTCAAATGTGCCCAGTTGGCTCTTATTGTCCAGGCGGAAAAAACAATTCAAAAACCTGCTCACCTGGAAGCAGATGCCCACCTGGTTCTGATAGACAGGTACCCTGCTTGCCAGGGACCTACCAACATTTACCAGGACAGGTGAGAAACATGAGGATGAATGGTTGCTTATTTTTAATAGGCAAGGTGCACATACTATACAACTGTCATGACTGTGATCGTGTACAAGCCATATATAGGCTTGATATGGTGTTTTGAAAACTATTTAAAAAAGTAAATCTGGAATAAGGTTAATAACTAACTATATATGATCAACAGAAGGTGGGTTTTTATTTATTGTGAGGCTGGCATCCAATTCTAACATCTGCTGATATTAGTGTAGTTATCATTTTGTATGTAATGTGTAGAAAACTCTGCATCATTTGTTTCTTTACAGCCAGACTGTGTTAAGTGTCCTGCGGGATTTTACTGTGCTGGCTTAGTGGATGTTGACACTGGGCATGTGTCAGGGACTCACACTCCCATGCTGTGTCCTAAAGGACATTACTGCCCATCAGGTAGGTGAAGATTAGTATCACTGCTGTAATACATTCATGAGAAATGTACAAGGTTATCATTTGCATAATAAAATAAAGATATGTGTGACATGAGTGCCAAATACTAAATATAGTGTTGCTCTTGTTTTGTGCGCACACTAATAGAAGACTCTAACACAAAATGGCTTTCTAATTATGTAAATGACCATTATAGAGTATAATCAAGATAAGAGGGGTCTTTACAAACTGTTCAGTGATGTGTATTCAGGGACAATCTGTAGTTATTATACATATTTATCCACAGGAACGCAGGATGGTGTAGCATTCCCGTGCCCAGCTGGCACCTTCAGCAGGCAGATGGGGTTGTCCAATAAGTCAGACTGTGAGCTCTGCCCTCCAGGGAGCTACTGCAGTTCCTCTGGATTGGCTGCTCCTACTGGGGTCTGCTCTGCTGGGTAAACACAGGCTAACTAAACACACACTTCATTAAGCGGTCAGCCAGATTAAGAAAGACATTTTCGTTCCCTATATTTTTATACCATCCCCTTCTGTAATTAAATCTCCTTATATGTTCCATCTCTTCCTGTCTGTCCTTCTGTTATCTATTACTTCCTTAATCCCACATACCCCTTGCAATCACCTCTATCCTCATCATCTCTCTGCACTTAGTTACCTTTGTATCCAGGGTTCTTTTTCTCCCCAACCAGAGGATCACCCAACAGGAGGCCGCTGCTCTGCAGGGTCCTATTGTCCACAGGGTACCAGCTACATGATTCCCTGCCCTGCAGGCACTTTCAGCTCCATAGAAGGTGACATGTAATACTGACTAATTACTCCGTGTTTTTGACACTGGAACATTATACCCAGACTTACAGTAGCTTAAGTTACATACTGTTAAGTGTCTCCTAAGATAACTACCATGTGGAGTTGAAATGTCTAACTTTTATTTTTATTTTTCCATTTTATAATAAATGTATGAACTTGGTTTGCCAGGAGCAGTTTCTTTGGAAGCATGTCAGCCTTGTTTGCCTGGCCACTTCTGTGCCAAGGACGGTCTCTCCTTCCCATCTGGCCTTTGCAACCCCGGCTTCTACTGCAAAGAAGGATCCAGATCTGCCACGCCTTGGGGTAATACCACAGGTGACAGTTTTCTTCCTCTTGCCCTTTACATAGTGTTAATAAATGCATAAAACATGCAAAACTAGTTTTTTTAGTAATGGTATTTGAAATACAACAACAACAACAAAAAGTTAAGGTCATCTGACACAGCTTGAAAAATATCTTTCTGTGCAGAATTTTCTTTCGGTGCACTCCAGGTTTTATTTAACATTTTCATGCCCTTTGACTCAGCACAGCTGAGAAGGTCTTCACAAAACATTTACCAGTCCCCACTACATCTCTTATTATTTTTCTTTCTGTGATTGCAGAAAATGGCTCTGGCCTTTTAGGTCATTCACTTACCTAATGAGTAATGACATCCAATAAAGGTCTATTGTCTCAGTTACAGGAGATACCCTATCTCCATCCCCACTTCCTGGTGAATCAACCCTGGGTCAGTTCCATGGAGATGTGTGTCCTGAAGGCTACTATTGTCCTAGAGGGAGTGCAAAGCCCAGCCCATGTCCTCCAGGTAAAAAAAAAAAACAAGAGACAGTCAAGAAAGACCTTGGAAAAAATAAGGACAAAATTATTTCTATTACTCTGAAAGTTTTGTGATAAAGCTGTATGATGAATATGTTCATCAACAGCATCAGCTATAGCGTTTTACAAGTACGCTTGGTTTTTATTACACTGTCTCCAAAGGTAGTATACAATGACATAAAGCTCTCAGAGGTAAAGTATAATGGCTTATTTATCCAGAACTTTAGAGAAGGTCATAAAACTCAACAGCAGTCCAATAAAGCTGTCATGATGAGCAGCTAGCTACTTAACCAGATGAATTAATGGAGCCTACTACTGTCATTTTTTCTACTTCAGTGTGAAAAATGACAGTTATTCCAAGCTGTGTCTTTTGTATTTTTGTCTTTCTTTGTCTGTGTCTATGTACTTCCATGATCATTTGTTTCCTCCATTCAGGCACCTTCTCTGCGAGGTCTGCGGCTGAGTCCGAGGCGGACTGTGAAGCTTGTTACCCAGGCTCTTACTGCCCTTCATGGGCTCAGACTTCTGCTGACCTCCTCTGTCCCCCTGGGTGGTTCTGTCCAGCAGGATCAGCGTCTGGACATCAGCCAGGTGGAGTACACATCACTGCGGGTCAACTCAGGTTTAACAGTGGTCTTTGCACTTTCATGTAGCATGTGATCACATACAGTATAGGCCAACTTTATCTCTTTTGCTCACTTTCAACTTATCCCTTCATTTTTTGAGACGACATATGTTGTCTTAACTAGAATAACCAGATTGTTTTCATTTTACACGTTTAATTTGGCATTTAACTAGAATCAGCTCTTTTGTCTGTCATTTTAACTGTAACGCTCTACTTTGAGGCTTGCTTCTGTAATAATCTACATAGTAAAAGATGCTCGAAATATACTAGAGAGGTTTTTATCCCACCCATAAACTATCCTTCTCCTGTTATATTACACGTACACCTAGAGATTCTTTGTTGCCTTTTTACCTTTTATTATAAAGATGTTTTGCTAATTTGAGCATGAAATGGGGCAGAACCTATAAATAGCCACAAGCTCATGTCTGTCAAGACAAAGCACCTGCTGCTGAGTCCGCTTTCTGCTCTCCTTTCCTCCCACAGGATTGTTGTACAGCGGTAATACTGATAAGAGCCACTGTCCTTTTCATTGCTTTGTTTCCATGGACACTGAGCCTGGGAAAATACACCAGATGTGCTTATTTCATGCATAATTGGTACATAAAAGAAATTAAGAGGATGTGTCATGGCAGCACTATCATTTTCTGTTTTGTTTTGTTTTGTTCAAATTTTGTTTTCATTGTAAACAATGACAGTTTGGATTTTTCATTATGTGCTTGGCAGGTCACCAGTGCCCACCTGGCTATGCGTGCCCGCGTGGTAGCGCGGAGCCGACTGGCTGTACTCCTGGCACATTTCAGTCCTTGTCTGGACATCCGGCTTGTAACAGCTGCCCAGCGGGTAATGCAAAAACACATTATGACACATATGTTAAAAAAAATGTTATAAAGAGAGAAATAGATGATGTTTACACTGATGTTAATTATTAATCGAGACATGCTACCTTGTCTAGGTTTTTACTGTCTGAAAGGTTCCTCCATGCCATCTCCATGTCCAATCGGCCACGTCAGTCCATCAGCTGGCAGGATGTCCCTAAGTGACTGCTCCCTCTGCCCCTCTGGCTTTTTTTGTAACAGCAGCGCTCTGACAGAGCCGTCTGGACCCTGCAGCCCAGGTCTGACAGCCCATAATCACCTCGGGAATTCATGTCAGACAACTGAAAGATTGGATTTTCTATATCTTTTCTGTATGCCTGTGCTATGTTAAGCTGTGGCGTCCACTGAATAACTCCGTTTTCCTACAATGTTTTAAACTGTAAATGTTTCAGCGTCCTCTGTGAGTTATCTAACCACATTGTTTACTACAGGACATTTTTGTTCCCCGGGATCCACTGAGCCTTCTCCTGTCTCCCAGACTTATGGAGATGTTTGTCCCATGGGACATTTCTGCCCTCAGGGAAGTGGGTCTCCCACACCCTGTCCTGTTGGCAGCTTCTTTCCCGAGCTTGGCGCACTCTCTCTCCCCCAATGCCGTCCTTGTCCCCCAGGGAAATACTGCCTGAATCCTGGAGCCTCACAGCCCACAGGTGGAGAATTAGACCAGTCATGAGACTGTTATAAATTGTTTTTGAATAGTTTGCAGTTATGGAAAAAAATTAATAAAACTCACAATATTTCATTATTCAGCTTTACCTCAAGTACCCTAAGTGCAGATTCAGGAGTTGCACAGCTCCCATTAGTCATGTCTGCTGAATTTCTGCCCATAACAACTTTTTGGGGTCTCATAAGCAGCTGCTTTAGAGTCTTTTCTAATTCCTCTCTGTGTTAGGTCTGTGTTTTGCGGGGTTCTTCTGTTCTGGAGGTGCAGATAGTTCCACACCTCGAGCTAACTCATCTTTGTCCAGCTGTCTTCTTAAAATACTAGAGGGTTACACCATAAGGACAAACGCCACCTGGATGCAAAACCTGCCCTGCTTTAATAACTCAGGTAATTCTGATAAAATATAGTTTTCTCCTGTTTGTAAAGACACCATATGCTTTGTTTATAAGGGCAGTACATCACTTTGCTCAAACTGGTCTACCACAGTGCAGAGCTTTAGAAGTAGTGATAAATATCCCACAAGACAGTGGCTTTTCATGGTTGACCTTAAGTATTCTGCAATTAATCATTGCCATACAATGTTACATTGTCCCCCCCTGACAAAATGGTTTAATAGGCATTGTAGAGGGAAAAAAGGAGACTCCTCTTTGGCATCATGTCTGGTAGACAAAGATTATAACTCAACTATTTTTCATGCTTTATCTACAATGTTGTGTTACAGGGAGAGACGCTAGTGGGATCAAAGCGGCAGCAGTGTCACGGGAAGATTTAGATCAGACTGTGACTGATTCACAGCCGAGTCTCAAGACGCCACAGTCTGCGTGTTCCACCTACAGAGGAGATATATGCCCTCGGGGTGGGTAAATCCTGGCAGTGAACTTGTGCACTTAATGTGATACTTTAGTTATCTTCATTGCTCATGACATGATAGCCTAATTTTTTGAAAATGGTAAGACACGCAACTTACTTCATCTGATCGGTGCAGCTTGTGTGATGTACTTTGGTTTGATTCCCGCTTAGTCTCGGTTTATTTAGCGACTCGGTCAGAAAATTATGGCTGAAATGTTAAATCACATTAAAGTGGTTTGAATGATGAATGCTTAGTTTTAGTGTTTAATGGCTTGCTTTATAAATAAGGAGAGAAATATAGTTTGTCAAATAAGCGCACTAAAAAAACATTAGTGGCAGCACAAAACCCCCCAAATAAATCTCACTCTGAAAGGTTCAAATTCCCCGCCTTAAACCAATGGCAAGGGCATTCGATTTTATTTAAATAGACTTCATTTCCATCTCCCGTCACTTTACATAACAAGGTGACTTTACAATACAGTAGAGAGAATGGGCGATAAAGAGCTGCAGATGGCTGGGTGGTGAGGCACATAAAAGTAACACTGTTGATATACGAGCTTAAAAGAACAGATTTGCAAGTAATAACATTCCTTTAAACGTAAAGGAAAATCTGTGAGGGTAGTTGTGTGAAACAGAAGAAGCAGAGAATAAAAGTTTGAGTGTGAGAAAATCCTCTGTCCCTGGAGGGATCACTTAGTTAATTGGAAACTTTCTCTTGTTGAAGTGTTATCATTTCAGGGACAATGTCTGGCTGATTTTTTTCAGGTTTCTATTGTCCTATGGGCTCTGCTTACCCTCACTCCTGTGAGGCTGGTTCTTACTGCAACCAGACTGGCCTAGAGGCTCCAGCAGGACCCTGTGCAGCTGGATATCACTGCCCTAGAGGCTCTTCTGAACCCCACGCCAACCCTTGTCCCACAGGACACTATTGCCCCCTTGGAACCCGGCTTCCTCTGCCCTGCCCTCTGGGAACTGTAAAAAGTGAGCTGTTGCAGTTTTGTTATGTAGCTGTAATCTGTGAGTAATATAACAAATACATTGTTCTTTGTGTACATTTATTGATTTCATTAACAAAAGAGAAGCTTGTGCATTGTGATTTCTCTTCCATCAAAAAGGAGAAGCAACTAAGGACAAATCAGTAATCCCTGGCTTGTACCCAGGCCATGAACTGATGATGAATGAGTACGCAATCAAAATAGTAAAACGGAGAAAAACAAAACCTAATCCCCTTTGCTCTGAACATCATCAGTTTTCCCACTGACGTCCTTGTTCGAACTGGTGTATACCTTTGCAGCTCAATCATGTGGAAAAATATGAAAACTTCCACTGAAGCATTTTCCCCCCCTTAGGCGCCTATGAATAATTGCAGTCACAAAGTGGCTTAATCGTGTAATTGTATTCTTGTCTTGTGGCAGACAACTAGAATCCTATTATTATATGCTGTAGCTCCTTTGTACAGTTATGAATTAGAAACTGATGAGGGAGTTGGGATGCACTTTGCATTGAAATAACATTGTAATCTATTTAAGGCTTTAATTACAAAGTGATATGGTGATTTTTTTTAAAAGTCTTTTTCTTTTGAGTGAGCTAATGCCCTGTGCACGTGGGTGTGCAAAACAACAGTTTTGTCTTCTTAATCAATTTATGTTGTTCATTTCATTAAAATTCAGATTTCTTAATTTATCACACCCTTACGCACACGAATGCTTCACCATCACTCCTAGATAAACAGTTTAACTACAATGTGCACATTATCCGCCAGGTTCCCTTGGTGGATCCACTGTTGAGGCTTGCCAGCTGTGTCCTCCAGGTCAATACTGTCACCAGCAAGGAATGGCTGAGCCAAGTGGCCCCTGTGCAGAAGGCTACTACTGTCCTGAGGGACAGATCTCTGAAAGACCACAGCAACATGCCTGCTCAGTTGGTCATTACTGTGAGAAGGTCAGCCGTGTAGTGTCAGGCTTCAAGCTACTGTCAGTCATCAATGAATATTGCATGTGATGTCTTTACATAACCCTCCCTCCTCAGCTCTATTATTTTTTCATGACTAGTGCATTACTATAGCAGGTTGGTGTTTCATCCGAGTCCCTGTGCTGTGACTCTGTCCACTGATATTGTTGCACTATGATTACAACTGATGATACATGTTGTTCTCCGCATATAACATCTAATAAAATGATTCTAATGGTTTCCTCAGGGTAGCGCCAGACAGACAGCCTGCCTTCCTGGCACCTACCAGTTCAGACGAGGTCAAGCTGGCTGCGAGACGTGTCCTGCTGGTTTCTATTGTAAAGAGCAAGGTAAAGCTGATGGAACGACAAAGCATTTAGCTGCTGGAGCCCAGATGTAACCTTTTAACTGGGGCGAGTTTTCTAAGAAATCATTGCAAATGTTCCTATTTGAAATGTGCTTGTCAGGAACGACTCTTCCACTTCCATGTGAGAGAGGGTTTTATTGCCCCAGTGGATCAGCATATCAGCATCCCTGTCCATCCGGAACCTATGGAAACATATCAGGACTGGTTGAGGAATGGCAGTGTTTACTGTGTGACCCCGGGATGTACTGCAGAGGAACAGGTACATTTCTCTGGCCATGTTTGTTTTGTTCAACAGATCTTTCTTGCAGACAACTGCTGTTTAAATGTATTGATGTATTGTTGGAAAAATCTATGTACTTTTCTACTCTGTTAATTATATTTGCTTGAAGGGAGGACTACCCCCACTGGGCACTGTGCTGCAGGGTTTGTTTGTGCCGAGGGAGCCAGTGAACCTTCACCGTTAGACAATGTGACAGGATTCCCTTGCCCGCCTGGGTTCTTTTGCCCTGCAGGCACATCTGTACCACAACCATGCCCAAAAGGAACATTCAGGTGGACATCTTTCAGTACCTCCATAAACATCGAATGATCTGAAGATGTAAAACAACACAAATAGTCCAATATTAGTTGCTAAATAGTGCCCATTGTGTGTCTGTTATCATTATTTGAATTATTTCAAATCCATTTACAGTCAAGATGACCCATGTTCAATTCAAATTCCACCTCTGGTTTCAGTGAGCAGATCGGCATTGTTGATCATTCTTCGTGTCGAGGCTGCACACCTGGCTTTTACTGTTCACAGCCTGGCCTTTCTGAAGTGTCTGGACCCTGCTCGCCAGGTAAAAAGTGATGCTCATTATTATGTTATGTCAAATGATTCATTATCCTGCTTGACTTGAACACATTTAAATGTTTCTACTGCTAGGTTTTTACTGCTTAGAGGGATCCCAGTCTGCTACTCCAATGTCAAGTGTATCGGGAGGTGTTTGTCCAGCAGGCCACTACTGTGCAGAGGGCAGCAGTGCCCCCTCACCTTGCCCGCCTGGTTTTTACCAAAATAAGACTGGAGGAAAAAGCAAACATGACTGCAAACCATGCCCTCTTGGTAATCAAATTGTTAATACAGAAAACTGACATTTCTGACGATATCCTCACTGTCTGAATGTCTTTGCCAGGCTGGTTCCAGGATTTGCCAGGGCAGAACGAGTGTAATCCCTGTCCCCCTGGGTTCCACTGCCAGCCTCTGAATCCCAGCCCCACCAGAGGGAGCTCTGCCGGAGTCTCCAGCCCTCTGCCCTGCCCAGCTGGTTATTTCTGTCCAAAGGATGAGAGTCCACACAATCAGCCACTCCCGTGCCCCAAAGGCAGCTACAGCCCCTTGCAGGGTCTCACTAGTGCAGGTAAAATACCAGAACCTTTATAGGAAATAGAGACAAGTGCAGTTATGTTGCATTCATGGCTAGTTGTTGTATTTATTTAATATAGGTTGAAGTCCAAGTATGGCAATGAATGCTTGATTCAGACACATGATTTATGGTAATTTAATCAACTATTATTCAGACCTGAGGTTCTTTTGATACTTTGCATATCTGGAAATGCATTTGTTAAAGAAATGAATATGAAAGGAATTATTATATATTAGATACAAAAATATACAGAAACAAATAGGATATTCTAGTTTTAGCTTATTTATCATATGAAAAATACAAAAACAGGTCTGAGTTGTGTTGATGCACAATAGTATTGCTGTTCTTCCTTTCATAGTTTAAAAACAAAAATCAAAGACTACATTGAGTCATTGAGTGAATGTTTACATGCATTTTGTTACCTCTATCTTTCTGCTATGTTATTCTACTGCCCTCTAATATAGTTCACTTCACACATTGATAGCTTTAGCCACATGCAGCGCCCTCAGAGCTGTGTTGATTGATCTTGAGCTTGTTTTGCCGTTAGAAGTGAAGTGAAATCTGTCATTGTCTGTGTTTGCAGGTCAGTGCTTAGTATGCCCAGCAGGGCAGTTCTGTGGCTCTGAAGGTCTGGTTGAGCCTTCAGGATCGTGTGCTGCTGGGTTTCTTTGTCTGACGGGTGCCAAAGTGCCAAACCCCACTGACAACAGAACTGGATCTCTCTGTCCACCTGGGATTTTCTGCCAGCAAGGTCTCAGAGCAGGTAGATTTATTGGATAATAGAAAGTGAGAGTGTTTTGACTAAATTAGTTGGTAACTATTGTCCTTGATGTAAATATGTAAGAAAATTGTGTATGTTTCTGTTCTGTGTCCTGTATCCTGTTTGTTTGTATATGTGTTTTTCTTGCTGCTGTTACAACCAAATTTCCCCTTGTGGGACAATTAGAGATGATTCTATTCTATTCTTCTATTCTCGTCACAAGCAATGAAGTGATCTTACTAAGAGTCCCTGTCTGTACAGCTAAATCTTCTAAATGGCCAGATGGCTACTTTGATGTGCAAAGGATCTGTTTAATATCCAGTAATGACACTTTACATGTTCCTATAGTGGAACCACACCCCCAGTGACACTGTACTTAAACTGAGACAACAGCACATATTCACATGTTACTGGGACTATTCACTTCAACTGTGGATCACAGCCTTTTTCCTTTGCAGTACCTCTAGTGGTCTGTTAGAGTCAGAGAGAAAGCTCAGCAATATCTCTGCTACTTCGATCTATTCATTTGAACTCTATTTAATCTTTATTAAAATGTTAATATTCTATGGTAGCACATATCATGCTGTAGGAAAATCCCAGAATGGCACTGTCAGGGCGCCGGTTTAGCTAATTGGGATGAGCAGGTGACCATATGCTGCATGTCCTCCCCTTTCTCTCTCCCTCTGCTTTTCTGTCACTCTTCATTGTACCCTTTCAAATAAAGCTTACACATTGTAAGTTGTAATTTCTGTATAGAAGTTTGTTTTTCTTTTAATCTCTTGTCTTCTAGGTGATTGCTGTTTGGGCTTTTATTGTGACTGGGGCTCCAGCAAAGCAGATCAGGCTGTGTGTCCAGCTGGTTTCTTCTGCCCCAGTGGAACACCAGCACCGGTGCCTTGTCCTGCAGGAACATTTAGCTCTCAAACAGGCAACATGCATCAATACAACTGCACCATCTGTACCCCTGGATACTACTGTCAAGGTGGGAAACATGGATTTACCTGCAGAGATCAGCAGTAATCCAGAGAGGAATCCATTACCATACTTTGCTAGCAAAATATTTACAAGACTTTATTTTAAATGGATCAAATTCACTTGTGTTCACTGGTTATTCTTTAAAGTCCTTCTTGGATGATTATAATAATCAGAGCAAGCTTTATAATTATGAGGAGCTTATCCAAAGTCTCTTTGTCTCAGCCAAACTAACTGAGACATTTTTAAAGACATTTAAAACTACACAACACTAGGGATGGGTATCGTTTAGGTTTTATCCGATACCAGTACCAAACCGGTACTTTTGAAACGGTGCTTAAAGAATGGAGAACACAAAATTGGTCCAAAAACCTCTCATGTTCAGTTGTT